TCTGTTGCATGTTTTGCTTATATCCATTCAAACATTGAAGGACAATTAGGCTTTTAACATTTTTTTTTTGCTTTTGTGTATACACATCTGTTTGTATCTATTGCCCTAACACTCTCTAAATCTTGAACGGAAATTCATAAGGTCACCTTTTAGGGAAACAAGAGATGAGCACAAACAGACCAGGATATTTTCTTAAGTACAATGCTCCATTAAAAAAGAAACATCTATGAGACCAAAAAGGCAACCATTACTCTAACTTGATGATAAAAAGACAAAGGAGGCAGGGAAATGAGAGTCCTGGAAAGGGAACAAGCAGGACCCAATGGGAGTATGCTGACATAATGTGGAAAGTGTAACTAGTGTGGATGAACCAACCGTGTAGAAATGGGAACCTAACTTGTTATGTAAACTTTCCCTAGAAGACAATCAAATCTCATTAGAAAAGAAACCCTATGGGGCACGGGCTCCTCCTCTGCAGGGCTACCATGGGTGGGAGTCAACTTTGACGGTGACTGTTCAGTTCTTTTGTTTGAATGTTTCAACCCTGCTGGAGAGCCCACGGCTTTGAAGGACACCCCCTCTGACAGGCGAGGGCTGTCTCTGCAGGGAGTGTTGGGAGTCCCACAGACGCTCTGTGAACTCTGTTCTGGTCTATGGTGAGAGGGAAGTGCTCGCTTATTTCTTGTGAGGCAGATAACGCTGACATGGCTGGCAAAGCCTTGTATCATCATGCGGAAATAGCCATCTTGAACACTGTCTCACTGCATCCAAAAATGAAAATCCAGCCCCCAAAGAAAAACAAAACATGGCTCGTACAGTCTGGTCACAGAGAAACTTCGTCTGGGAAACTCAGAGGGGCAGTTCTACCCTGTCCTACAGGGTGAGTCAGCATTACCTCGATGGCAGTGAGTGAGTGAGACACAGCTGTGTACATGATGTCCTTTCAGAGGCCAGGCCTGATTCTAGACTCAGTTACCCCTCTACCGGAACTACTGACGGTGCTCCAGTGTCCTCTAGAGACCCTCTGGCAGCCCAGTGGACTGCAGAGCCCCATGGCTGTAGCTCACACACTCAACCCAGAAGCCTCATGGCCCAGCCACTGGGGAGGAGGCTGGAAGCACACGAGTTGTTCCCTCTGCCTGTTAGCCGGGCACTCCTGGCAGTTGTACAGAAGCCTTCAATCTTGCGAGGGAATAACCTTTTTATATTCTTGGCTCCTGCTTATATTGGGAGAAAAAGAGCCAGGCTACCTATTTTGGGAGAGCTGCCCATATGCTCGGCTTCGGAGAAGAATGTTGGTTTGGTTAAATCTAGCTGGGAACAAACATTTCCAAAGTGTGCCACTGAATGACAGGGTGTTTTCTTCTTCCTCTTGTCGAGGCTGCACTACAAGTCTGGCTGGCTGCTCACAGCTCTAACAGACTTTCTAGCAGGAGGGGCTCAGGGAGGGACAACCAGCCAAGCCCTAGGAAAAGATGTGACAGTCTGCATCCCTAAAAACTAGGAAACTCTCAGGGGGAAATTCTTACACTGTCCTGTAACGTCACTATGAGTTAGATGACAGTTGAAAAAAAATTTTATTAATCATTTTATTAGGGGGCTCTTACGGATCTTATGACAATCTATCATTCAACTGTATTAAGCACACTTGTACAGGTGTTGCCATCAGCATTTCCAAAACATTTACTTTCTCCTTGAGCCCTTGGTATCAGCTCCTCCTTCCCCCCTCCCTCCTCCACCCTCCTGTGAATCTTGATCAATTAATTATATATGGATGTTGTTATTTCATGTCTTACACTGCCTGTTGTCTCCCTTCACACACATATCTGTTATTCGTTCCCCTGGGGGGTGGGCTATATATCCAACCTTGTGATGGATTTCCCCCTTACTCCCCCTAGCGCCCCCTCACCCTCCCATTCCTCTACTCTCATCATATCGCTACTCCCACTACTGTTCCTGAGGGTTTTATCTGTCCTCAGTTCCATGTGTCGAGAGTGCTTATTGGTACCACTGTGTGTACTGTGGTCTAGCCAGATTTGTAAGGTAGTACTGGGTCATGGGAGTGGGGGAGGAAGCTTTCAGAAACTAGAGGAATGATTTGTGTTTCGTTGGTGCTGTACAGCACCCTGGTTGAATTGTCCCTTGCTTGTAACCCCACTGTGGGGGGATGTCCAATCATCTACAGATGGACTTCGGGTCTCCACTCTAACCCTCCACTTTCACATCAATAAAATTCTTTGTTTTGGATCTTTTGATATGTGTTACCTGATCCCATCAACAACTCATGATCACACGGGCTGGTGTGCTTCTTTCATTTGCTTATGTGCCCATTTGTCTTCACAATTGTGTCCGTGAGTATCAAAGAGTGCCAAGTTATTAGAACAAAGTGTTCTTGTGTTTAGGGAGGCCTTGAGTGAAGACCCAAAGTCCATCTGCTATCTTAATACTTAACATATAAATATATGTACATTGGCCTCTCTCCCTTTTATTATAAATGAATATATTTACATATGTACATGCCTATAGCTATACTTCTATAAATAGCTTTTTCTTCTTACTTCTTTCCTCTATTTCCTTTCACTTTTCTTCTGTCCCACTATCATGCTCAACTTCCATTTGGCTCTCGGTAATTCTTCTTGGGGGAAGGGCCAGCTCTTTCTTTTTCCTTTCTCTGTTCTCCTCAGTCTCATGTATCTTTCTTCCCTCCTTTCTTTGTTCCCTTCTTCCACATCCATTTCTGCTTCCCATATCTCTTTTCCTGCCCTCGGTCCTTTCCTAGGATCGTGGAGTTGGTTCACGAGTGGCAGGGAGAAGCTGGAGTGTAAGGAGCTGCTGGGGCCCCGTGTCCACTTCTCAGAGTGTGAATGTGCACAAGCAGCGGTGCGTTTTGAGTCCCGACACACCAGGAAGTAGCTCTGTGACTTTGGGCAAGTTGCTCAAAGGTCTGTTTGACAGTGGCTATGGTTTCCTCATTTGTAAATTCGACTAATAGCTGTTTGGAATGTTATTGAGAATTCACCAACAGTGTCCAAGGAAGCTGCTTATCACCGGAGGGAAGGGGAGAGGCCCAGAGTTCCCAGCTAGGGGCTGGGCTGGGTGGCTGTGGCAGAGCAGAGCCTTCAGAGGGGCCACAACCCCCCCACCCCCACTCACCCCTAGGAGATGCTGAGACCTCTTTTTTTCTCATCTCTCTAAGTGCACAGTGGGTTCTAGCTTGTGGACCTAAGAGGGAAGAGAATGTTAAGAGCTGTTGCTCTTGAACAAACATTTAATATTAATGGGGGTTTATCAAGGATCAGTAGAGGAGGCAGTGGTAGTTCAGTGGCAGAGTTCTTACCTCCCACGCAGGCAACCCAGGTTGCCTGGCCAGTGGACCTAAACATAGTCACCACTCATCTATCTCCAGCGGCTTGTATGTTGCTATGATGCTGAACAGGCTTCATTAGAGCTTCCACACTAAGACAGCCTGGGAAGAAAGCTCTGGCCACAGAAACCCCATGGCCTGATCTGCAATTGATCATGGGGAAGCACAGGATTGTGCATGGCATCACCATTGTGCTGGATTGTGCATGGCGCCACCTTGAGCCAGAGACTTCTAGGAAGGCAGTCAACAACACAACGTCACTGCTTCTTGACTAACCCTCTGTTCTTCTGACAAAGAGCTATGTAAAGAGGAATCATCACAGTTAAATGAGGAGACTCATCCAGAGGTGACACTTTTGGAGGACAGTCTGTCTTGCTCCCGGATTAGCTTGTTTGTGCAGACTTTGGGGGCAAAGTACACATCAGTGGCTCTAACTTCACTTGGGAGGTGGTGATTGTCCAGGTGAAGTACAGCATTTGATTTTTTGATGACAATGAAAGACATGGCATACACTGCTGAGTCAATTCAATACAGATTCCAACTCACGGGGTTCCCACAGGACAGAGTTGAAGTGCTCTCCAGGGTTTTGGAGGTTCTCAGAACCTTTCCAGGAGCAGGCAACCTTACCTTCCCCTCAGAGCAGGGGGTGCTGTCAGTCTGCTGACCGTGCAGTTTGTAAACATAATAGTATACTCCATGCCATGTGTTTGCTGGCACAGTTTGCAAAGAAAAGGCTGATGCTCTGCAGACTTTAAAGGGTTGTTACAGTTTTAAAACAAAGCTCATTCAAATCTGTCCAGCCCAACACAACTGTGCTACCTGATAACTCTAATAGAGTTGAGTCCAGTGTTCCTGGCTTTTGATGGAAGACAGGGGTTGACCTCCACATCTATAATCTTAAATCAAGCGAGATGTACCAGAATCTCAAACGCTTTGCCAAGATCCTAAGGCTGAATGAAGTAGCACGCTATAGCAGTAGAGAAAATTGAGTAGATTGGCTTGCACACAGTCATTATTTGCTGTATTAAACTGAGTTGGTTACACACTAAATAACCATCACATATATAGCCAAGGATGAGGAATAGCACGGGCAGTGTGAAATAGAGCTTGTGTTGTATTTGTGGAAACTAATAATTAAGATCATTTATCTCTATATCAAAGAACTGTATCCAAGCACTGTAACACTCATTCAATGGGGTTTACATTAGAACAATGCACGTGGCTGCCTACTGCATAGAATTTATTTAGTGGACAAACGGATTTCCTCCCAGCAGTTGGGATGGAGCCGTTTACAGCTAGGTGATTTAGACAGAATACAACGGAGTTCAGCCTGTGTGTTCATCTATGGCAAGGTTTTCCAACCTGGAGCTGCTAATGACGTTCCTTGCAAGGACTAGTTGGCTGCTAGTCAACTCTCACAACTCTTCTAATTTCCTGGCCCTTGACCTTGGACTCTATTACACCTTGCATCACCTTCCTGCCTCAATACCATTTGGGTGGTGCTGCCTTGGGCCCGCCCGATTCTGCTTTTCACGCCTGACCAGGACTTCCAGGGGGAATCCGTTTACATCAGCACTGAGAGCAAGATGGAGAGTGCCTGTGAGGGCAGCCTGGCTGCTCCCACAGCGCGCCTTACCCACGAGGACGAATGGTCAGGGCAGTGCAGTGTGCCCGAGCTTGAATAGAGGACGTCATCCTTGACCAACACCGAGATGGCTCTCAGGATGAAGGACAGGAACAGGTTCAGGTGGATGTAGTTCCGGGTGCAGTGTAGTTTCCTGTGGTCACGGATAGAAGGATGGAGAGAGGAAAGAAGAGATGTTAAAACACTTATTTTGCATACACTTTAATAATTGTCTATGTAGTTTTTAAGATATATCTTACTGTTTTCACAATAGTTTCATGTTCACAGGGAACACAAAGTGTATGAAAGTACAAGTAGCTCCCACATACTGCCATAGCCTTCCCAGTTTCTATCAATGGACATCTTGCATTGGTGTGGTCCACTTATTGTACTGCTAACCAGTATGGAAGCATTCTTCTGAACTGACAGCCATCGTCTACACTGGACATCACCCTGTGGTGTGCAGTCCCCATAGGTTTGGGGGAGGTTTTCAGCACTGTTGGTTTCACCACCCTGACAATGCTCTGTGTTCCACCTCGTCTTCTTGCCCTCTCTCCCGCTTATGTGATTTTTATCTTCATGCATTCTGCTTCTAGTAAACAAACAAACAACCCCCTGAATATAATTAATAACTGAGAAAACAAAGCACAGGAAAAGTTTAGAAAAAATCAAACTAAATGATAATAAAAGCATAACGCACCCACTTTAAAAGGTAAAGAACAGAGCAGAAGCAGAACTGAGAGGGAAAAGCAAAGATGCGAAAATGCATTCTACAGAAAGGCTGAAAGCATGTTGTAAGCATCTATCTCTAGAAGTTAGACAAAGAATACCAGCTTAAAAACCAGACAAAACTGAAGGAGAGATACACTGAAGATAAAAGGATAAGCCCGCAACTTAATAAGCAAACATACAATAGAGAAAATCCACAAGGTCAAAAGTTAGTTTTTGGAAAAACACTAATAAAATCGAAAAGTAGATGCCTCAACAAAGAAGGAAGACACAAATGACCAATGTCAGGAAAAAAGCACATTAAAAAGAGAACATGGAAAAGATAGACTGTGATGGTAAGGTTTTGTTCCAACTTTGCTGGGTCAGGAGCCTCAGTGGCTTGGCAGTTAGCATCCATTGACCTAAAACACTGTAACTAAAGCCAATCCACTGTGAGCCTCCACAAAGGAGTAGGATTACGGGTGGAACGGAACACCCTGAGTCAGGTCACAGCCCTGATGCAATTAAAAGCAAGTTTCCTTAGGGGTATGGTCTCCTTCCAGTATTAGGACGCTGTGGAAAAGCTTGGTTCCCTTTTTAATTTGGAGATTTTCTTGTAAGGTTTCTAGTGGGGATGCTAGTTTTTAAAAAATTTTAAAAAATCATTTTATTGGGGGCTCGTACAATTCTTATCACAATCCATACAGCCATCCATGTATCAAGCACATATGTACATTTGTCGCCATATTGTCATTCTCAAAACATTTGCCTTCTACTTGAGCCTTTAATGTCGGTTGCTCATTTCCCCCCACCCCTCCCCAATCTCCCCTCCCTCATGAACCCTTCATAATTCATAAATTATTATTAGCTAGTTTTTTTATTCTTTCCTTTGTCACTGAGAACCTTCCTCTGTGTGCTTAACATATCCCATCATCATCTGGGTAGTTCTGCAGATTGTTTCATTTCATCCAATTCTTTTAGGTCTTGGTGTTGTTCATTTAGTTGTACCCCCCCCCCCCCCTTGTGTGTTTGTGGGTGTGTTCTGATACTCCTGTTTCTTCAACGTCTTGGTGTGGCTGTTAGGGATGGCAGGGTAGTTAACTCTGTCGGGTGGTGTAGGAGGGGAATAATAAAAACTTCAGAACAAGCATTGAAAGAAAGCAGATAGAATAGGAGAGGGGAAAGAGATAAATAATGGAAGGAAAAGTAATAAAGGAAAAAGAAAAAAGGAATGAGCAATAGAAACTTAAGAAATATAAAAAAGCTTAAAAATTCTTTTTAAAAAAAGTATGAAAGGGATTGTTTCAAAGTAATTTAAAAAATATTACAAGATTTTATTCTAGAGAAAAGGAAATCGGCTGTTGTTTGTTTGGGTTCTAAGCCCTGCTTTGCATTGTTGTAGCATGTGTGGGTGAGAGAGAGGTGTCTTACAGCAAGAAGGGTGGGAGGCTCAGGTGGGTTGATGACATGTGCTAGAAGCACACGGGAGGAGGACCAGTAGAGTAATTACAATGTGTGCCTACTGGTTAAGTGGGTCCACGTGGTCGGACACTTGGACTGGTTGGAATAGGCTTAGGCTGGATGCCAAATGGAGGCAAGGGGGCCGAGTGGGGTGGGGGGAATGGAGGGACCAGAGCTCTTGCCATCTGGGAGGTGACGAGGTTTCACAGGGCAGTCTGGGGCTGAGTGAATGTGCAGGGGCAGAGATCTCTGAGAGGAGCCCAGGGAGGAGGGACCTAAGCTGGACACCATCCAGGGGGAAGAGGCCATCCCCAAGGAAGGCCCAGTGGGGAGGTACAAACAAGGATTTTGCTCTGGATGGCCTGGGGTAGTCTAAATGAGGTGCTGGACTGACTGCTTTGTGTTTTGGCTGGATCTGGATTTTACATCTGGCTCATCGACTTCCAGTTCCTTAGACTTGAGCCAATGGCCTGCCAATATTACCTGCCGGTCCTGGGAGCCATTCGAGGCCTGCCATTTGACCTACCGACCTTGAGTTTGTTCAGTTCTGCAGTCACAAGGCTGACTGCTGACCTTGGATTCATCTGCTTCTGTAGCCACCAGCCTATGATCTCTCTGCTGGTGTTGGCTATATCAGCCTCCTCAGCTACCAAGTCAGAAGAAACTTTCACCTTAACATTTGGCTAACAGACTTGGAATCTGCCTGGACTTGGGCTTGCCTGCTTTTACAATGGTGTGTACCATTTTCCTGATATAAATGCCGCTATCTCTACGTATATATGTCACTGGTTTTGCTTCTCTAGAGAATCCAGGTTAAGATGTAAAAAAATAGATTCCTTTAAAGTATAATTTACCATAAATGACATAGGAAGAAGTAGACATTCTGAAATATAGGCACCAGTCCTGTTTTTGTTTTTAAAATAAACCTGAACTCATAAATAAAACCTTCCCACAATGACAATCCTCTGTTCAGATATCTTCACTAGATAATTCTTCCAAACAATTAGAAATCTATAACCTTTTATAAACATATTTAACCCAAAGTATTCCAAAGCATAGAAATGAGGAAACATTTTCCTATAACTTAATTGGCCAGCATAAAAGTTGCACCAAAACTTAGATTAAATGATTTAATTAATGTGGCTGCCCAATTCCTCAAGATAATATTAGCAAGTAGAGCATAATTACACATTTAAAAAAACTGCAATCACGTAGATTTCAGGGATAAAGGTAGCTATAATAAGAACATCATAGAGTATACAGGGCCACCACTGAGTATAAGCTGACTTGGTGACAACTGGTTTGTTTTTGTTCTTGCTTTTGGTATCCACATAATTTATTAGTTTAAACGAGTAAATGACCAAAAAACCATAAGATCATTTCAATATATACAGAAAAATCATTTTATAAAACTCAACACCTACAAAGGGTAACCAAGAAACTTAGAAAACCGAGAATTGGAGAAAATGTTCCTCATCTGGACACTTCAATAGGCACAACGAACGTCATCCTTCTAAGAGAAATGGAAGGCGGAAAGCTCTCACCCTGCATCAGAAATAAGAAAAGGTCTGCTGCCCAGCACCCTTCTATTTAACAATGTCATTCGCAAAACAACACAAGTTACACAGAGAAGAATTAAAATGCATATAAAGAAGAATTATAGAATTCATAAAATGAATTTAGCAGCATTGATGAAATAAGACGAATTTATAGAATTCAGTTATTTCTCTAGAAACAATTAGAAATGGAATTTAATCAATCATTTACCATACCATAAACAAATACCAACAAGTGACTATCAGCAGATATGTGAGACCTTTACTTTGAATACCACAAAATATTGAGATATTAAAGAAGACTGAAACAAATGGAAGAATATATTACGATTATGAGTTGAGTCACTTAATATAATAAATATGTTCATTCTATTCAAGCTAATCTATAAATGGAATATAATCCAAAATGAAATCCCAGTAGGATTTTTATGGCATCTGACATGATGATTTATTATCGTTCATATGTAAATGAAAAGGGACAGTTCTTCTTAATGGGAAATAAAACAGATGAGGACTCACATTTGTGGAAATCCAGGTTTATTATAAGGCTAGTAGAAACTGAAGGTGCCCTGGTGGTGTGATTATATACTGGGTCGGCCATTTAACACCACCAGCAGCTCTGCAGGAGAAAGACTGGGCTTTACTCCCATCATCAGTTAGAGTCTAGAAACCCACAGGGTGCCACTGTGAGTCAGCATTGACTCGAGGGCAGTGAGTGTATAGTAACTGCACTGTAAAAAAGGCCGAGGGGCAGGCAAGGGGCAACTGGAACAGAACTGAGCCCATAGAGGTCCCACACAAAGCAGTCACAGCTGGGGATGCTGCTGAAGGGGATGGAAAGGGTGTATTCACTTTGGGACACAGTTGACAGTATTTGGAAAGGTTAAATCTATGGGTAGCCAGAAAATATAAATATGACACACATATAAATGTACACGCATATATTACAGAAATGTGTACATATGTGCAAGAAATAATGCCTAAAAATGTTCACACCAACCTTCCATCGCTAAGAATATCAAGTGGAAAATCATCTATATACCCATGATCAGTTGAAGGGATAAACAAATTGTATCATCTTCATCAACTGAAATACTCTAGTCACGAATGAGAACATAACTCAATCAAGAACATGAAACAAGTGGCAGTTGTCGAATGAAAGAACCCAATGACAGAGGAGTACCTCTGGCATGATTACAAGAGCACTTTTAACAAAGGCAAATCAGCCTCCGGTGCACAGGGGCAGAGGCACGGTACTGACCTGCACGGTACGAGGAGGGCGTCTAAAGCTCTCCAAGCCTGAGCTCTTGATCTGCTGTACTGTGCTCATTTTGTAAACACTGGAGTTATCTTTACGATGTACCCACTTGAGGAGACGAGCCAGACAGGGTGCGATGTAGCAACGATGAAAAAGACAACTCTCCTCTAGTTCCTAAATGCTTGTATACTACAGAGAGTGTAAATGTTCTATAGTCCCCCCCCCCCCACTATCATGATCCGAATTCTACCCTGCAAGTCTGGCTAGACCAGAGGATGTACACTGGTACCGATAGGAACTGGAAATAGAGGGAATACAGGGCGGATGATCCCTACAGGACCAGTGGTGTGAGTGGTGAGGGTAGAGGGAGAGTGGGTAGGAAAGAGGGAACCGATTACAAGGAACTATATGTGACCTCCTCCCTGGAGGCTGGACAACCGAAAAGTGGGTGAAGGGAGAAGTCAGACAGGGCAAGATATGACAAAATACCCATTTATAAACTATCAAGGGCTCATGAGGGAGGGGGGAGCGGGGAGGGAGGGGATAAATGAAGACCTAATGCCGGGGGCTTAAGTGGAGAGAAAATGTTTTGAGAATGATGAGGGCAATGAATGTACAAATGTACTTTACACAATTGATGTATGTATGGATTGTGATGAGTTGTATAAGCCCCTAATAAAATGATTTAAAAAAAAGATTTACCCACTTAACAAAATTTTCTTAACATTAGTAGCTTAACTTAACGTATGCTTGATCACTATGTTTATTTTTTAAACATTTTTAAGGATCACAAGGCTTATTAAATATAACAGGAAATTTTCCTTGTGTTTTCAGGGAGTGTTCTGAGCTGCTGTGATCATGCCGCATTATGCTGTGAAGTGGCTATAGAACATTTGCACTCTCTGTAGTATACATGTCTGCATCCCCTCTATTTCTCTTTATGGATCACTTCTTTGGGAATGTAGTCTACTGTCAATATAATTTGTTTTTTTCAGCAATTCAAACTACTTTTCTTTTATAGCTTGTGTCCTTTTTTCCTTTTCCCCCATCCCCCTCATCATGTCTCTCTACCAAGTGTGGTTGGGATTTCTATCTAGCCCTCATTCCAGTTAGCAAGCCATCCAAGCAACTCATGCTGGTTACGTTTCTTAGCATTTTAGGACTTGGTTGAAAAAAATATGTCATTCCACTTATTTGGTGTGCAAAAGCCCATTGTTACTTAATGCTTTCTTGGCTTATGGTATGGTTACAGAAGATAAATGTTCAATGAAAAGAATTCTGAAAAGAAATCTGCTTCCTGGACCTAATTACTGGGACAACAAAGCCTTTTATCTTCAGAATATGGGTTTCAAGAATCAATTCCCTCTCACCTGACTCTAACAAAGTGGCATCCCATAACCACACCCAACAGATGCAGTCGGCAGGGCAGGGACTCGGGATGCTTGTCCCAGCAAGTGTCACATTCTTAGCAGGCAGCAGAACAACTTCTACTGCAGAGATAGCTTAAAACACAAACAAAACAAAAAACTAAAAACAGCCACAGGCAGAGGACAGATGAGGTCTATTACAGAAGATTGGGCTTGATACCTGAAAAGCCATTTTAAAGTTTCCTAGAGGACCAATGCCCTTAAGGGCAAGAATCCCACATCCGATTAGTTTAGCTCATTTAATATGTCACGCTGCACAAGGCTGAGGCAACTAAAGTATGCCAAGAAGATGAAGAATTCAAAAAAGAGCTCTTTCAAAATAAGTTGTGATGTCTCGTTTAAATTACTCTGTGCCACCTTGTTATTCTTAGGTGCCATCGAATCAGTTCTGACTCACAGTGACCCGATGTACAACAGCAAGAAATAAATACTGCCCGGTGGGAGTGACCTCCCTACATTTTCATTCTCTTTAGCAATTTGAACATTAAAAATATATAGTAAAATACAAAGGATAAATAGAGCAACTATTAATATGGTATCTTTTTTTTTTTAAAGGAAAGAGACAATTATAGTCTTCCCTATACTCTTTTGGTTAGCAGTTCGAACCCACGAGCTGCTCCGTGGGAGAAAGATGAGACTGTCTACCTGCTCCCCGGGCGGTGGACAGTCTCAGAAACCCAAAGGGGCAGCTCCACTCTGTCCTGGAGGCTGCTAGGAGGCAGGACAGACTTGATGGCAGTGGGTTTGGTTTATGGTTCAGACATTCTGAGAATTATTAACTACCTGATAAAGTTGAAGGCTTACAGCATTAAAAGTATAACTTAATTATATTCCCTGGGTTTCTTAATATCCATTATTGTTTATTAGTCCTTACTAATTTATTTTAATTGCAATCTAGACATCCTAATGAGTTGTTTGTGAGGTTCCCAAAATAATTCCATTTGTTGCATAATTGATTTCATCTGATATATGAGCTGGCATATGAAGTTCATTTTAGCAAAGAAAAATATGTGGGGATCAAAACACTGCTTGGTATCATCTATTTTACTTAGTGCTAATGATATAGATCACATGGGTTTAATCCTAAATGTGATTATTAACTTTTTCTAGAAAGAAACAAAGCCTCTACCCTCCAACTCTGACCAACCGCCAGAAGACAAGCTTCAGCTGTGTTGGTGGTACTGCATACGATGGAGGGACTTAAGCATTTAGGTCTACTAACACCTTGAATATTCACCAAAAATGTGCAAAGTAGCCTCCCTTGGTATTAGATGCATCAAAAGGTGAGGTAATTTTTCCGAGACCACAATTTTTCCGCACAACTACTAAGAAACTGGTCCAGGATAAGAACCCCAACAGTCAGACTCCAGTTGTCATGCTCTTAGCCACGTTAGACTGTCTTTCAATGGACCAACAGCCACCCAAACTCAGGAACATCCCGGTAAGGATATGGTCATATTGATTCCATATTGTCAAAACATTTACGTGACTGTTGACTATTTACTAAACAAAAGCGGAGCCAACTCCTTATTCAAGTCAGTACTTTCTCTTTATGTGTGAAATGCAGAGTATTTCAATAATCACAGACACGCTGCACCATGTCTCACACTAGCGGTCTCCAGGAGAGCTGTACTGATTTAGCACATGGGCGATGCTCTCACCTGGGAGCCAGGCACTGAACGTGGAGGCAGACACTGTCTGCCTTCCTTGGAGATGCCCAGTGGCTTAAACGGAAAACCTGTCCATCCCATAGTCTTTGTGGAATTTCACATTTCCTCTCCTTACCTGAAAAGGCAAAGAATGATACTTCCGGTTGTGAGGGAAATCAGAGAAACACTGTACCCCAGGGTGTAAACGGCCTTCACCAGAATATAAAACGTGATCTACAAAAAAACAAAACAAAACAGACGAGTAAGCTCTTGGTGGCCAGCATCAAATAACAGGCAGGATAACCCAGTCTTGACCGAATACCCCTTCCTTCACAGAGGAACCTCCTCTTCTTCATCACCTGGGTTTACACCGACCCGTCTATATGATTTTAAACTTCATTCTGGATCCAAGGGTGTATTTGCCATGACACTCCCCCCCCCAACCACACACACACAGAATTTGATGAGAATGATCTTGGCTTGTTTTTTTCTGAAGTGAATCTATTGGAAGAAATACGATCTGCCACTTCAAGTTAATTCAAAGAAAGGCAGTGAGTACCCAATTCAGTCTCAAAAGCAGAGCTCCTGACTCTGGCTTGCAACAGTAGTGCCTTCTCAAGGAGCAAAACCCCCAAGGGAGCAGAAAATGCCGTTGTGTATCACAAGCCTGAATGTACTGCACTCACAAAACCACAATGCTTTGTCGGTGGATGGCACAGTTCCTGGGGTAAAGGCAAGCTACCGATAGAGACCGGTAGTTATACTGCCATCTTACAATTTTTATTTTCTTAACATTTCTTGGCATAGCAGGCTTTCTCACGTGATGCTTTTAATCCCCAGGAATCTATCAGCAGGAACAGAAGGAGGTTAGTAGTAATAACTGTGACAGAAACCCTGAGAACGTTACTATAATATGAAGTGTGGTAGTTACACAATTTCCCGTCACCTTCAGAAATAGGGTGAAGGGATGGAGTCTAGCCTGTTAATCAGGTCACACCCTGTCGTTCTCCCTGCAGGCGGGGCAAACCCTTTTTGCTGCTTGACCTTTCTGTTGAAGAGTCACATGGAGCCATTCTGATGGCAGCCAGAGCCCTGGAGACGCGTCCACCACCATTGGATCCATAGGACTTTCTACCCACCGGCCTGTGATCTTCCTGAATTCAACATCATTGAATGGCCGGCGGAAAACAAAGAGGAATTTATGGACTAGTATCAGCCATATGGCCTAATATCGGACTTTTATTATGGACTTGATCTGGACTGGGATGTTTTCTTAATTACAATTACTCTTTGATATAAATCTCTCTCTTACACCCATATGAATGTCTCTGGTTTGTTTTTCTAGTCTACCCAGACTAACACATGAAGTCAAACAGGAAAAAAAAAATCAGGCCTTCTGGAACAATATCCCTGTTGATCACGATAAAAGCAGGGGCACCTAAAAAGACATTCATGATTTCTAGAGGCTATTTCCTGGCTCATGTTTTTTGCCCCCCTTGAAGAAAAGGTCTAATTCCTATAAAAAAACTCAATAAACATATATTTACACAGTGGGTTGTATTTTTTGCCAAGTGATTTTAAGAAATCAACATAAATAGTATTAAACCTCATTGTTATTTTACAGTAAAAATTTAATACATGACAAAGAAATCTATGCTTTTACTCTGTGCTTAATTATAGGCATACTGTCTAATTATTACTTGGAAATGTGCTGCATTTAGATTTGAATTCTAGTAGGCACCTGGGCACTGTTCAGTTAGGCCCGTCACAACAGTGTTCAGTGTAGAGTAACACAAGGTACTCTATGTCCACTTCTCTTCTTCCTCGCTCTCTGTTTTCTTTCTCGGGAGCTCAGGAGACTCCACTACTGTGGAGTGTGGGGTGGGATCCCTCATGCTCACGGTCTTGAATTCGGGCACGACCACCTATCCGGGCTGTGCTTCCTCTCCTCAGGAACACACACCTCCTCTCACCTCCTAGTGGTGAGAGCTCCTCGCTCTAAGGTACTGTCTCTGACTTTATCCAAATCAACTTCCCACCTTTCTCAATGATCCTTGACCATCATCAGCTTGTGCTTTATCTTATTATGCTTTGTTAGTTAAGTATTAACCCAATGAACATGTATTGGCTCCTGATCATGAGCTGCAGCGGCTGGCACAGACCTGGCACTCAGTAAATACTACTGAATGAATGAAGGAGTGCAGTACATTTGGCTCCAGATCACTGTCCTTTAAAGCGGAGGTGTACTCGCTGTGTTGTGGGTGTCTATGGTGCCACAAGGCCTGATCTGGGACTCCACACACAGATTACTAAAGCCATATTCTTACCAGACATGTCCCGTTTCACACTCATAGTGCTGACGAAAGGGACTGCTCACGTTTCCCAGATGCTGGAAGTGCCCCCAGCAGATACTTGGAACACCACGCTTCTCAGTCCCTTGGCTGAGAAAGATTCCCTGACCTCCGTCTGTCTTTGTGTCCTGTCTGTGCAATGAGGTGGTGGTGGTGTGTGTGCCACCTGCCTGAGAACGCTTCAGGGGACAAAGTGTGGCTTTCAAGTCTCCCTCAGAGCAACAGTGACAAGCGAGGTCTGGAGTAGGGACCCGGGATTTGTACTTGTTAACTCCCTATCGCGTCCTTACTGCTGATGTGGCTCGCTGATTTTTAAGCCTAACCACGTGTCAGAATCACCAGGGAGGCCTTGCAAAGGCCCAAGGCAAGAATGAGTCTAAAGAATTCCAGAATAGCCAGGAATATGT